TCTTGTTTCCAGACATCAGTAGATTTCATGAAAAAAAAATTTTTTTAAACTACATTGCTGATTTATGTGGAAAACCACATAAAAGCAGATTTGATGCTTTGCCAGCACGCAGTACTGCCACATTACTTCACTGTTAACTGCAGATCTAATGATAAAAAATTGAAATGTCTACTCAAGAACAAGAACTAAAGAAGTTCTTAGAAATGTCATCAAGTGTTAGGCCAAGTTTTTGTGATGCAACTTCTCTTACATAGGATAAAATATATAATTTATATATATTATATATAAATTATATATTTTATCCTATGTAAGAGAAATTGTATATATATATATTTAAATTATATAATATATAATATCCTATTATATAAGATATAATAATATACTATATAATGCATAGGATATAATATTTCTCTTACATAGGATATAATATTTACATAGGATATAATCATATATTACATCATTTCCCAAATTGCCTTTAGGAGGGAGGAAGGGAGGAACGCTGAGAAGCCAGGACAAGAGTAAAAATCACCTGAAAAAGTCTGAAGTGGTGAAACCTTTTAAGTGTGTCATACTGAACAGCTGATAGGTCTGTAAAAGGCATGAATATTAAATTATTTTGAATGTGTAACTGTTAGGCACTTTCATATCCTATGTCAAGGTGCTGTGCACAAATATCCAGAAGCTCAAGCAAACTACTTCTTAATCACAAGAATATTAATTTATTAAAATAAACTAACTAACTAAGTGAAAACGCAGAGATAAATACTCCCTGACAGCCTCCCAACTACATGGACATTGCTTAGGTACTTGGTATTACAGAACTGCAGAAGCAATGCTAACTAGCTGGAGCTAGAAGGACATTTCCATTTCCTTGTCCCACGAAGTCCTCACACTGCAATCTGCTGGATTGTATTCTAACAGAAATAGTATGAGGCACTTGCCCTGTTTGTAGCCCACTGGCAACTGCTAAAAACAGGACTGGGAGAAACAGAGCTTAATGACCGGGAAAGACATCCTTGTCTCACTGTGGCCTCACATTTTGGGGAAGTCACAGCTAATAAAAGAATCCCATGCTTTGTGCACCCTTAAACTTTATTTCACAATTTAAAAACCTGTAAGCTGGCTAGAACAATTTAAACATCTAAACTATCCTTGTGCTATTGGCTACTTGTTAAGTACACAGCATACAGAAGACAGACCTGCACGGATGGTGCTAATTCAGTGGCTTTTGTAGTTAGAGTTCAGGAATTTTCATTGAAAAATACATTTAACCTTGTAATATTACAAGACGAGGTCAGTTGTGTGCATATGTATACATATATATGTGGTCCAGTACCAAGCACTGTTATTGTATGTAACAATGTTACTGTTCCTGATTTTCAGCTTACAAGATAACAGCGCCTTTCCATTACATGTGACTATCTGCCATGCCAAATTTTTCCCATATGTTTATGATTTATTTCTGTGCTTTGTAACTTGAAAGATTCAGAACAACGTACAATGTATTGCAAGGGGAAGAGAAAACAATCTGAGACAGTCACTTGGTTTTAAAATGCATCTATCTGCATTCCTCTTCCAGTGTGGCAGCAAAGGAGAACCTTCCAGAACATAAAACACAGTGATCCCTTATGCTCACACAAATCTAAGATGCTGAGTCTTAGCTCTTAACAGCACCAGGGTTTCCACATGCACTGCTAAGAATGTAAATCTAATTTTACACGAAATTAGATACTTCTGGTAGGATCTTGGCTTTGAGGCAGATATATCACATGCCTGCTACAGGTAATTCATGACCACCTTGGAGAATATCAACATATTTTTTTTTGGACAAGACTGACAGAAGGAAAACAAACTACTAATTGCAAGAAGATATAATACTCTGAGCAGTTGCAAAGAAGATACTCAGCAAACTGTCTGATCAGAAACTTCTTCCCAAAACTAAGGCAACTTCACAGTTTCTATTTATCCCTTCTGAGTCAAGTTTAACCTAAACAGTTATGTGACATTTATAAAGTCCTGAGGTATTTATTACAATTCATATTTATCAACAAACCTCCAAACTTAGAAAGCGATTACATCAAGCTCTACACAAGACACAGCTGCTCACCTCCTTAGCAGACAGACAGCTAGAAGCTTCAGATATGAACCACATCACTAAAAGGAAGGATATTGAGGTGCTGGAGCAGGTCCAGAGAAGAGCAACCAGGCTGGTGAAGGGACTTGAACACAAGTCCTATGAGGAGAGGCTGAGGGAGCTGGGGTTGTTTAGCCTGGAGAAGAGAAGGCTCAGGGGAGACCTCATCACTCTCTACACCTACCTGAAAGGAGGTTGTAGCCAGGTGGGGGTCGGTCTCTTCTCCCAGGCAGCTATCAGTAAGACAAGAGGGTATGGTCTCCAGCTCTGCTAGGGGAGGTTTAGGTTGGATATTGGGAAGAAATTCTTTACAGAGAGGGTAATCAGGCATTGGAATGGGCTGCCCAGAGAGTGGTGGATTCTCTATCCCTGGAGGTTTTTAAGATGAGACTGGATGTGGCACTCAGTGCCTAGTAATTGTGGTGGTAGTGGATCAGGGGTTGGACTTGATCATCTCAGAGGTCCTTTCCAACCCGGCTGATCCTATGATTCTATGATTAATTGAAAAGTCAGTTCAGTTGCAGTTTCAAATGCAAGTTAATGCTGATTTTCAAAAAGGCTTCTTGTAATACTAACAGAGTTACTTTCTGCACTTCTGCCATGGAGATACCTACACATTAATGGATCCCAAGCAGTAAGTCACTAAGCATTGCCTTCTAGGAACTCAGCCCAGACCATGACATTGAAAAAGTTGCTAGGTGGTCTCACTGTGTTTGAATATAATGCAAAAACAAATCACAGCCAGCTGACAAATGCTCAAGTCTTTTGAGTAGGGTTTTCCACTGCAGCATAAATACAAAATTCACATGCTTGATTTGGCTTTTCCTATAATTATCAAAATCCTGCTAAGCAATCTGTTACCTTCCTGTGGCTTGTGATGGGAAAAATAGCTACTGTCTTGAAATCTTTTGTACCACTGTGGTCAATATCTGATATATGCAGGAATGGAAGCAGTCCAGAAACTGCTGTGTAAGTTCATCTTACGAATACTCATATCACTGAGAAATGTAAGGAGAGAAGTACTATGACACTGGTTTTCTTTCAAAACCATCTGCTCTAACATGCTAACAGTTCTGATAATCCTACAAAAATATCTTTTAAAACAAAGATACAATTCTGTATGAATAGATCAACTTGTGTCTGTACAGCATTCTTTTGTTCTGAAGAAAACATATCCTAAAAATAGAAAATATTGACTAAGAGGAAATAAATGGATTGAATGGATTTTAAATATAACAAAAAATATAAAAAGATCCTTATCTTACAGTTTTCAAAACTACAATCTCTATGCTACAAAATTCAGAGGGCTGTCAGATGACAATAGCTTATGAACTACAACTTACCGCACTGTTTTTCTATTGTCTTGAGATGTATTTTTAGAGGCAGGTGATTTCGTTGTAGCTCCTGAGTTACGTCATAAAAAGGGGAAAAATGGTAGTAATTTTCAACCTGCTAGAAAACATGTTTGGAAGAAGTCCTATTGATTTCTGTTTAAGGATTATGTTGTTCTAAGAATTACAATTAAAATGCCCCAGAAGAAACAGGCTTATGAATTCTGAAAAAATTTTCCTAAGAATTTGTGCAACAGCCATCAGACACTTTTTTTCAATGATGATCAGCCAGCATGCTAATACATTCCAGAGTTATCCAGAATATGACATGGTTATACAATGTATCTTGGTGATCCAAATTGATGCAGCCATACTCAAATAACAACAGTCTTAAAAACAGGTAGGTTTTTTTTGGTTACAGGACTTAAGCTACAAAAGAAAAAGGTTTCCTGCTAATTAACTGAAATCTACAAAGTGATGGTCCTTGAAGCATCCAAAGGAGAACTACAGAGATGGTGAAGGGTCTTGAGGGGAAGCTGTATGCAGAGCAGCTGAGGTCACTTGGTCTGTTCAGCCTGGAGGAGACTGAGGGGAGACCTCACTGCAGTTACAACTTCCTTGTGAGGGGAAGAGGAGGGGCAGGCACTGATCTTTTCTCTGTGCTGTCCAGTTATAGGACCTGAGGGAATGGCAGGATGCTGTTTCAGGGAGGTTTAGGTTGCATATTAGGAGAACGTTCTTCACCCAGAAGAAAACTGGCTGGGTACTGGAACAGGCTCCACAGGGAAGTGATCACAGCACCAAGCCTGACAGGTTCAAGAATCGTCTGGATGATGCCCTCAGGCACATGATGTGATTCCTGGGGGTGTCCTGTACAGGTCCAGGACTTGGGATTCGATGATCCTTATGGGTCCCTTCCAACTCAAGGTATTTTATGATTCTAATAACATATTTCTAGTCACAGGAAAAACTAAAAGTAACTGGTTCTTTCCCATAATTATGAAATCCGGTTTGAAGTGACCCATAAGGATCATCCAGCCCAATCCCCCTGCCAAGGCAGGGTCGCCTAGGACAGGAGTCACAGGATGTGTCCACATGGGTTTGGAATGTCTCCAGAGAGGGAGACTCCACGACCTCCCTGGGTAGACTGCTTCAGTGCTCTGCCACCCTCAATGTAAGAAAGTTCTTCCTCATGTTGAGGTGGAATTTCGGGCATTTTTAGTTTATGGCCATTACTCCCTACTTCTTTAACATGGAATCAAATTCTTAAGTTATACAGGAAGAGCTTATATGCATACTCTTCCTTAAAAGAAACACTAGCATTTAATTTAATATAAAAATACCTTCAAGAGAAGAAGGCAATCAAGAGGGCACCTCCAATAATGGCAAAAACTCTCAAACATTTCTTGCATATCTCTACCATAAACAAATAAAGGACTTCTTAACTACTATGTTCATCAAATTAATTTTGAAAAGGATCTGAAACAGAAGTGACTAATGGCACAGTTGCTGTTTTATAGTCCATGAAATATGTTTCCTGTATTGTTAAAAAACACACACTGCTACTTCAAATAGGAAATACTAAATTATATCGTATACAAAAACTCAAAAGTGGTTATTATGAAATTTCCCCACACTTTTTATGCAGTTTTCAGGCACTACTCTCACTTGTGCACTGGTTACTTTGGTTGGATCAGAACAAGTACAACTTGCAGATGTTCACAATTTAACCCAGATTTTCCATAATCTTCAGTAATGCTGTTTTTCCTGAGTTCTGGTTAAACACTTTTGTTATCCTGGTTACTCAGTTGGCCTGTAAGTATTCACAGGCTGTTCTTCACCAACATCTATCATCAACATATTTAATGGAACATGAGGCTTGTCATAGCCAGAAAACTTCAAACAGCTGCTTGGAATGACTTCTTGCTGTGTTTCTGTGGCAGAAACCTCTGTACCTGAAGAGTTACTGCATATATCCATTTGGCTACTGTCAGAAACGAAATAACTCTCTTTTACTTTATAATTCTGTTCATCAGCATCATAAGATACCTCCTCTGTGCTTTCCTGCACAAACTCCTCTTCTGCTTTGGCTGGTGCCTCCAGGGTAAGTACAGAAGATTCTCCATCACCGGAATTCTTAGGACTAACAGTTTCTTCTTCTGGCTCTATCTCCAGCAAGGTTACTTCACCATTCACTGGCAATGCTGACTGGCCTGACATGAAGCTTATTACAGATATATACTTTCCCTCCGATTTTGGCCCTAAAAGTAAGGTGTCTTTGTTGAGGTTCCTCATCACACTGACCTTAAATGGAAAAAAAACAAAAGCAAAAAACAAAATCCTTCAGTTTAGAGGTTAAAAAAGATACAAGTCGATCCTACAAATTTAAGGTCATTATAACCAATCCCAAAACGAAATCACAAAATTAGAATCGGGCATGGTCATTAGCCCATATCCATGTTTTCCAACTGTTTCATTAAAACTTGTATGCAATTTCTGAAAAACGCTTTCTCTGTGAAAAAACATTTGCAAGAACCAAATCCATTTCATGTCACCCACTGTATTTTAAATCATTTGAAGTTTTCAATGTAAAGGAAAATTGCAAAAGAAGAAAAAGACATAATATTCTTCAACTAGCCAGGGAAACCTTTCATACTCTATAGCTAATGAGTGTAACTTACAACGACTGTAACAATTTATGACAACTGTCTCAAATGGGAGGGGAGTGAACTTTTTAGAAAGAGATTTAAAATGGCACAAGAACCTTTATGTGTACCTGATATCAAGCCCCTCAAGATTTGAGCCTCTCGGGATTTGAATAAAACTTTAGTTGTTACTCAGTAGCCGTAGCTGGACAGGTATGATTAAGCAATTGCATGGTGAACATTGTAGGCTTAGCTAATCTTTTGTTTTAAGGGAAAGGGAAGACAATCATAAAATAACTGGGCTGTCTGGATGAGAGCCACCAGGACTGAGGTCAGCAGAGCTGAGCAGTAACTGGGGGAAAGGTAATTCCGGCAGTGAGAGATTGTGACCACCGACTCAAAACGGACCCCAAAATCACATGGAGGGAAGAACTGCACATGCAGATTAATTAGTACGAGAAGGGAGACAGAGAACTAGCAAACGTGGGGCGAAGTACTAATTAATAAAATAGTTATGTAACCGTAACCAATGACTGCTGATGCCTTTTTTTGTTAAAACTTACAAATACTGTAAATTTTTGATGATCGGTGAGCCAGCCTTTTGTGGGTTACCACCTAGCTCATTACTTTTGCATAACTTTGAATAAAAAATTGAAATACCTCAGTGCATGAATTGGTGCTGCACACCAAGTAATGAGCCTGTGTTCAGGACAACATACCCAGTAACTGTATCTATGACAAAGTTTTCCTAGTTATTTCACAGAGTCACTAAGCACTCCCTCAAATGTTGCAACAAACTTTAATGTTTCACGTTGAAATCCCTCCACAGGACGATCATATGAATTCCTTCAATGGTCAGGCTCCAACTTGTTTTAAGCAATTATGATATGCCTTCAGGCTGTTTAGATTCTTCTAATTTTTTTTTAATGAGTTCTCAAGAATATATACATATGAAAACCAAAGTACACTAAATTTTCAGCTGTTTGATGGTGTTCCCTAAAGATAACAGAATGCCTAGGGAGAAAGAATTAATTAATAGTGCCCTTTTCCAAAATTTGTAATTCCCCATATGTCAGAGATTATCAAGTATTATAGATATGCAAATTTATTAAAAAAATACACAATCACCGTTTTTTTAGATGCTTTGTGAAAAATAATCTCATTGAAATTTCAGATTGAGGTAAATAAGGAAGAAAGGGATGTAAGTAGGAAGAGGAATGGGGAAAAAAAGATAATGTTAAGAAAAGTTCCAGACAGGCATAAAGAACCTTCCAGTCTGTATTAGTCTAAGAACTGAGAGGGTCATCAAAACCAGATGATCAAATCTAACTGTGCTATTCAAGAGTCCTCCCTGATTAAAAGGTTGTGAGACTTGAGCTTCACATTCATACCTTGACAGTGTGCTAACTTCATTAGAACTTGCTTTCATCTCTCACTTCAGCTCCCTTACCCTTCCCCTCAGTAGCCCTGATTATCTGTTGATGCAACTGTGTTTTAGGCTGGATTGAGGAAACCCTTGCAATTTAGAAAAAACAAGCAAACAAACAACAACTACCAGAAACCAAAAACCAAACACTCCTTGGAGAGCAGTTATTTGTCACCTAAGTGAGTTTTACAAACAGCTGTGTGAGCACCACCGAGGTGAGGCAACCCCTGGGGAATCAAGGGCTGCCACTGAAAAACTCGGTAAGCACCCTAAGTGCCTTAAGGTGGCTTCTGACACACTACAACTTAACTGCCATTCTGCCATCACTGTCTCTGGATCTTCATTTTCTGTTATGTGGAGACAGAACCCTATACAAAGAATATTCAGAGTAATTTTCATGAGAATTCATGGAAACCACTAATTTGTAAGATGTAGATGCTTAGAAGTTAGTTGCAAAAACCAGAATACAATCAATAATGGGTAGATACTGAAAACGCTAAGAACAGCTGGTGGGATAATTGTACTTTTCTAGAAGGTCTTTATACAGATATTTGAAAAAATACTGGACATTCATGCTATACAACACTGACCTTGAAGGGACCAGCATCTATATTTTTCCAGGTGAGGGGGTGGGTAGCAAAAATATAGCAAAAATCACAGCAAGTGACAAGAGAAGATAATTGTCTGTGTGAGATGGAATACTTGAGGAATGTGAATTTTAAAAAAAAAAAATTGTACAAACTATTGCTAAAACCTGCATTTACAACTTTCCATCTTAAACCAATGAGTACTTGTTTCTGTTCCCTTAGGATTTTCACAGGGCTCTAAAAATCACATTAAGGGATTGCCTTGTACTCTTACACAGGGCATGCATTTCACAGTGAATATACATAGAGACTTCGAGGATAAAATACCTATTCCCAGTACAACTACATCCAAGACTTTTTAAAAAAGAAACACATTTTTCTCTTGGCAAGTTCCTGACCAACACAAGATGGTGCAAAGACACTCCCATTCCCATCCATGAAAGGAAGTGATCAGAAGAAAAACTCCTGGGAATTTCCCAGCACCAAAGGGTTTTTAGAGTCACTGAGTCATGACTACAAGAAAACTTAGCAATTCACACAGTTGTTTCTGGCTTCAAAGATAAGAATCATATCTTATTGCACTAACTGGAATGTCATTCAAAGTATCTCAAGCAACAAGAGTAATTAAGATATGGTTGCCCTTGGAAGAAAAGTATTTGCCATAGGTAAGTTAACATCTTTCTTTTTTTTCACGTCATCTAATACTGGCAATATGACAGCCAGTGAGCTTAAGATGGATGTCAGCAGTATCTCCTGGCATGTGCAGGCACTCAACGCAACTTCCTGTCTCCAGTGAGAACACCTGAGCTTTCAGGACTTTCCCTGTATCAACAGATGAGTAAGATATGCTGCTGAAAGCCCGGCTCAAGAATACAGATAAATAACATTTCCCAAGCAATCTGTAACAGTTAGTGTAATCAACAGATTCTTTTTTAACTTTCTTTTCTAAGGACTTGTCCATGTACGAATTCCCAGTAATTTTCAGGTGCACATTTTCTGGAGGAGAGTTTGAAAAGTCCATTTCAAATCTTATCAGGACCGTGACAAAAATCTGCATGGCCTTTGCATGATTTCACAACAGATTAATGATGTGTAAATTTACAAATAGAAGACCATGTTACTGCCCTATAGATGCTTACAGGAAAGAAAAAAAAACAAACAAAACATTTTCACAAAAGATAATGAAGCAGCTTCTCTCTTGTAAGATGACAATTATTTGTGGCAAGTATAAGTCAAAAATTACAGGAACAATTACAGTTTCTGCAGATGAAAAATATATCTTGTACAACTAAAAAAAAAGAATTGCAAAGAAAAATCTCAAATGTTTCCTGAATATCTGTAACCATTCTACAAAGAGAGAACACAGTCTTGTCATTCTGGTTAGAATCAGAAAAAGCACCAGCAGGTAGCAGAAAAGTTGACTTAAGTATAAGCCTGAAATGAAAGTTGAGTCTTCCTCTGATGGAAGCAGGGTACAGGGGGATCTTAGGCATTGAGCCAGCCCTGCACTATGGACAAGTCATTTTAAAGGGTCTTGAAATTGAAGAACATGGAATCAAAGATCATGGGCTACTCTCTCAATAAGCCTTTTGAGACTTCCTACACCCACTGAGAAGATACACTTGCTTTGATTCCTGTTTACTTTTGCCTCACATGGCAGTTCTTTAAAGTTGTGATTGTTATGCCGTGACTACTGGGACACCAGGAGGACATTATAACAGTACTTGTTAGACACTCCACTCTTGCCTGATGTGAAATCAAGAAGTACTTCTGCTCCTTAAGGAACATCCACTGTTTCCTAAGGACAGCTACAAGGAGATTTTAAGATAGAGCAGCTGCTGACCTCTCTTCCCTGTGACTGCTCAGTGAGAGAACAGACTTCCTCTAGTCCTTCTTCCCTCTTCCTACAGCTCTATTACTCCCTTCCTTCCCTTACTCTGCATAACTCTAAGAACATTTTAGCAGTTAGCAGCATTGCAATACTAAATGAAGGAATCTCACAGCTGTCCAGTAACAGGACAAAAGGGGGCAAACTGAAACGCATGGAATTTTATCTGAATGTAAGAAAAACTGTGAGGGCGGTTAAACACTGGAATAGGTTGCCCAGGGCAGCTGTGGAGTCTCCTTCCTTGCAGGTATTCAAAAGCCATCTGGATACGATTCTGGGTAACCTGCTCTTGCTGAGCCTCCTTGAGCAAAGGGGTTGGACTAGACAATTTCAAGAAGTCTCTTCTAACCTCAGCAATTTTGTGGTTCTGTGTCTCTGCTACTAGGATGAACACAAACCTGCCTAGGTACACACACACACTGAGTTTTTAAGAACTAAATTCTCAAACTAGACCAACTACTGCTACTTCAGTCAAAAAGAGACTGAAGTCTGTCCCTAAAAAAAAATAAAAGGCATCTGTTTGCAGATCCTATCAGGTTAGACTGGCATAAATTCTAAACATCTATTACACCATGGTAAAAATACCCCCGAACTCCCAAACAAACAAAGAAAGAGACAGGCATAAAGATGTGGTAGTGATACAAGTTAAATAGTTGGATATTAAAAACCTGATGCAGATAAGAAGTCTGAACTTACCAAAGACTTAGGCAGCGTTATGTTCCTTTTCCTTAGTCTCCTGCAGCCAAAATATACCATCACTATTACGCTCAGGCTCCCAATAACAACACACACCATGACGATCCATTGTACACCTAAGAAATTAATGCAAAATCTACTAGGAAGTTCGGAAAAACAAGACCCTGCTGTATCACTTAGAACAACTTCAGAAATTGTAGTAGCTCAAAATGCTTAGCTGCAACATGTGAATGTGTCAATTTACTACTTTTTCTTACTCAAGAAAACTTAAGTGATTAAACTTTTATTGCGTACAAAAAAATTAGCATGACAGATTTTCAATTTATATAAACATAATCATGTTTTTATAGAAATAAAGGAAATTTATAACTAATTTTTTGTTCCTTAAGACATGAGAGATGGGGAGATCTGTACTTTTTCCCTGTGATAGCATATTAACTGATTACACATAGTTTATGTACAATAAAATTAAAATGCAAAATCTTCCAAAACAGAATTGCTAACTTCTACCAGTAAGATTCCACTGGTCTGACTCTCCTTAATGTCCTCCCCCCCACTCATACTGCACCTCTTATGTGTACAATAAAAACACAGCTGCTTCTATCAATTTTCTTTCTTTTCTCTACTGAAATTTCAGGCCATAATAAAGTAACATTAAAAACTTTGCAAGAGGTTATCAGAGATATAAAGTTGGGTCACTAGCTGCCTTTTGTTCTCTTAAGAGACAAATTTCATGGCCACAAGTTTATATTTGCTTCAAACTTAAAAGTCTGCATACAGTGATGAGACTGAACATAAAGTGAGTTTTCAGAAGAGACAAAAAAAACCCCACATAACTCAGTGAAGGATGCATTCGTTATTTATTACACCAATGATCAGGCACAATGGAAACAGGTTTTGTGATACTAATGAAGCAGAAAAAGCACCCAAAAAATGTCAGGATTACTTGAAAATCACATGTGATCTTTAAAGGTCTTTAGAACTGTCAAAGTGCATTTGGAAACGAATGATCACACTTCCCTTTCTTTTCTATTCTCCCATAGGCATCCCATGGCTATACTGGAACTCAAATACTTGCTAGATCAGATCTCTGGTCAGATTCAGTATTTTCTTACTATAGTTTTAAAATCCTCTTACTCAATGTCTGCTTGACAGGAACAAGAATGCAGCTTTCCTCTGATGGGGTGCCAATCATCAGTGCATCAAAAATTCCCTTCGCTGAAACACAGTAAGTGGAACCTTCAGCAGGAACTTGGATAATGAGGCTACATTTTTCCATTGTACAGTTGTCTACATAGAACTCTTCAGCCTGCAAAAAACCAGAAGACACATCGTATGATTTGACTCAACAGAACAATGTTACAGCACCTTCCAACACTTGCAAAAACATTAAAACACTATGCTTAATGTTTCCTGTATTACCTGGATCCCTTGCAAAAGCTGGGTGAACTTCAGCTATCAGCTTACTGGCTACCTTAAGATGTTATATTTGACCAGAACACGGTATTTTCGATCTAAAATTTGTGCTGTTCATAGTCTAGATTCACATTCCTAATTCACTTCCAAAATTTTTACCTGGGTGTATATGAAAAGGTAACTGTAAGTAAACATATCTACTGTAATTTTCTTCAAGTTCACCCTTCATGATTGCTAAATAAATATCAATACCTTGAAAGGTAAATTTCTTAAATGAAAGGTCTCTCTAGACAAGTGAAAGGGGTCTAAGTAAAGTTACCAATGTTTTAGCACATATGTAGAAACAGTAGCATGGAAACAAGTAACGCTATCTTGTGTACAGCTAATGCAATAATCTAATTTTTTTTTTTTTTTTACATTCCTTTAGACAACTAAAATCCAGACCTTCCAGTCACATATCTCACTGTAATGCACTCAACATTTTTGGGATTTCAACTTTTTTCTTGGTATCTGTTTGTTCCATTTGTCACAGGAGTAAATCTCTTGTTTAGGCATTTAAGGTAAACAAGTATTTTTAATTTGAAGTTTTGTTTTTGGAACTTACCTCATTTGTACTATTCCGAAAAGTCACCAGGTACTCAAGCTTTAAATAAATGTCTTCAATACAAGAAAGAGGGAATAAAGGATGGTAAATATCAACCATGATTTTATCACCATGCCTTGAGAGATTCAGTTTTGGTGGTCCTATTTTTCCTGCAAGACATTGCACCATAGCTATTAGGCCAAAGCTTTTAACATAAAGTATGTTATTTATAGTTAGCTTTCCAAACTTTGTCAGAGATTTGAGAATTACATGTCTATTTCAATGCTGTTAACGTCTATAGCTGTGCTCAGACCTGTCTGTTGCTTAGAAGTAATGAAGGTATTTGGATACATTAATGAATTGGCTTCTAAAATGAAACAGATTGTCCATGAAGAATTCCACTGTTAAGAAATTCAACTCTCCCACACACATAAGGCCATAAAAATGCAGTTGACAACAGAAAAGACTAACAGCAATTCAACATACATATAAACAAGAACCAAACACGATACTGCTGCCTAGATCTCACCATAAATCACCTCAGCTAAAAACAATACTGTACTGAAACAAAGACTACACAAAAAGCCAAACACATCTCATCTTGAGCAACAGTACTTTGGAAACCTGATTTCCCATGGCAATGGCCTCTGTGGAATTTTGGTGTCTAATGATCTGACCAAACACAAGTTTCTTGTTCAATGGGAAAAGGATTTTTTCTCTTTTCTCCACACATGGCTACCAATTTTCTGCAAACTGTCAAACTCAGAATTATCACCATGACTTCTGTCCCTACTAGAAATCAGCCCCTATTTCAAGTCATAGGACTACTGGATGGGGAAGGAATCATAGCAGAAAACAAAGAGGGACTCTACTTCTTCAGCTCCAGTATTGCAGAAATCCAGCTCTATTTAAGGCATAGCCCAAGTCAGAGAGAATTTCATGGGCCATGTTCTGCCTGAAAGGTGTACGTTGAGAATGGAGCAAGCCTGAGAGGAATTCTCTTGGTCTTTCCTCACTCTGTTGCATTTCCTTTGCACCACCCGCAAAATGCCAGGGCCTGCCACACTGTACTGCATTGGCCTGAATTCTAGACACAAAATTTACTTTTACAGTATTGATGTGAAAGACTGATTTTTCCCAAAGCAGCCCAAAGGATTAACATGAAGAATCAGTAACTTAGATATCCAGCTACAGTGAAATCCTACAGCTTCTAGATAGAATCTAGTACCAAAGTACATGGTACTATAGTGTCAACCAAAGCATTAACTACTTCAGTCATGCCTAAAGGTCCATAGTGTCCAGTGACAGCTTCCTGCCCTAAACTGGTGTCTGGGGCAACAGGGAAGAATATGGGAAGGATTCACAGAGTGCACCACCAGCATCACCTTCTTGCCTTTAGATGTTTTGAAACAAATATTCAGATACCACAGCATCAAGGCTAACAAGTACTATGGAATCCTACTAAACAATCACCAGGCTTGGTTTCATCCTGGACTCCTGGATTTAAGATATTCCCAAATGATATACAATAATACAACAAAAAAAGTTAATTATTAACTTTCTAAAGTTTGGGAAAAAAATTATAAGATTTAGGTTATGATGCAACTTACCATGCCTTTGCAAAATAAACTCATTCGTCTCAACATATTCAGATTGTCGTGACCCAATAACAGCTTTAAGTCGAAGCCAGTGAGACAAATAAGGCTCACATATTTCCCCTGAGAGATCACAGAAATAAGCTGAAGTGTTCACACAAGTTGAGACGGTCTTATAGGAACCAAAACTGTAAAACAGATCAAGTAATAGTTAATACAATTTCAATTGTACAATCCTGTGCAATACATTTCCTATAACAAAAAAACTGAAAGGGTAGCCAGGCAGTGAAAGATTGCCCAGGGAGATTGTGCAGTCTCCTTCGCTGGGGATATTCAAAAGCTGACTGGACATGGTCTTGGATGACCTGCTTGGGCAAAGGGATTGGACCAGATGACTTCCAGACGTCCCTGCCAACCTCAACCATCCTGTTACTTGACTTGATTTTGCCTTAATTTACACCTGGACAACCTTCACCCTATATGACTTCACTACATAGACACAAAACTGACTGAAATTTAATGACTGACTGCTTTCATGTGCTTCAGAGAATATCAGGTACAGGAAATGACAAAATAGTAAGAACTTACTCGTAAGGTTTGATTTCCACAATAAAATGAGGAGTTTCAGACACAGGTGGGTACTGCCAATGCAAAAGAGTTTTGAAATTTTCAGATCTTATTACAATTTCTGTTGGTGAAGGCACTAGAAGAAAGAGAACAATTGCACTTTGATAAACAGATCTATTGAAGTACAACAACAGTCAAATGTTCTCCTAAATTATTCAGAAAAGGCAATATGGTAGGCAAAAAAAATCACAAATACGTCCCCCTCAATGAACTAGTTTGTCACCGGTACAAACACATATGAGCCCTGTAAGCTGATTTATTATTCTCTCTCCTACAGAGACAGCTTTCATCCTGTTTGCAACCCAGAATGTCAAACAACCCATGCCCACTGAAAGCAAGCCCATGAGATTGCCCATACCAAGTTCATAAGCAGTGACGATTACACCCCTATGTTGGTATTTTAAAGATATATCAGCACGACAGATAGTATGAGTTCACTCAAGTTAGAGGAGATTAGCCCAGCTCCTGTAGGTTTCTCTTGCTGTTCAGAAATTCAGCTGGAGCGGGTGGAGGGTGAGGTGGGAGACACCAAAGCTGGAGTATCAAGGCCAAAAGACAACAGGCCTGCTGGGGAAAGCTCGGATTCAACATGAATTTCTAACAATGACTTCTACCACTCCAGCACTGTTTTCAGTAACACGTGATGACAAAAATAAATTACAAACGTTTGTAAGGAATTTGAACCCTGAAAGCTATAATGTAGTTCCATATACAAGAAAGCATTCAAAGTATACTTAGTAAACAGCATCTGAGGTAATGCAGTAAAACAGTACAAAAATAAAAAGCAGCCCTGACAGTTTTCCTTGTGCAGCAAGTATCTCTTCTAAGCATCAATAGCGATATCAAGGAAGCAGTTGCCAGGGAAGGAAAATTACAGGATCCTTTAACTACTAAAGCTGTCACATAACAGGAAGAGAACAGAAAGGAAGGTCCCTCAACTGATTTTAACTGTTACTTCTCAGCTTCTCAATGCCTGGTTTGGCATCTTTAGTATTCTCAATATAGCTTTTATGAAATGTTGACAGGTAGCCCATATTTGATCTGCTCTAAGCTGCTGCTTGTTCACAAACCAAGTGCTGCAACTTCACTCTGTGATATTTTGAGAGAAAGTAGACAATTTTCACATCTTGAGAGCAAGACCACAAACATAACACATTACCAAAAGTAATACGCTGAGGCTGAGATACGCTATCAACCACCAAGGTTTGATACGTGTAACACAGATACTCTGCAAATGGTTCTGTGGTTTATGCTTTAGTACATACAAAAGTGGTATTTCAGCTATTGGAAAAAAAGAAACACAATCATCAAATTCACAACCACATGAAAAAAAAGGTGACAAGTTGACAGAAGAGGTGTCAAGCACACAAATGTTACTTCAAACACACAATTTTAAGGCACAGTGTAGTTAGCCTTACTAAATGCAACTTTTGTGTACTATTATATAAATAAAACTGCTTAACAAAAAGGGTTGACCCCAGAGCACTGGAGGAGGTAGTAGATGTTACAGTAGGACCCCTCCATCATCTGCCAAACTTTTGGGAAGGTCCCTGCTGATGGGACACTAGCCACTATTCCAATTTACAAGAAGGGCATGAGGAAAGACCCAGGAAACTACAGACAATCATCAGGAACAGTCAACAGGGGTTCACAAAGTGAAAGTCCTATTTAACTGATTTATTATCTTTCTACAATAAAATCACCTGCCTAGTGGATGAAGAGAAGGCAGTAGATGTACTTTTTTGTGACTTTAGTAAGGTTTTTGATAGTGTTCCCCACCACGTTCTGAATAAGCTGTGGGATGTGCAGGTTCACAGCGCACTGAGTGAAGAACTGGCTGAAGGGCAGAGCTCCAAGGGCTGCAGTGAATGGAGCTGCACCTGGCTCGTGACCAGCAGTGTCCCTTGGGGCTCAGCTCTAGGGACTGTTCTGTACAGTATTTTTACCAATGATCTGGATGCAGGAGTTGAATGCATCTTTGGCAAATTAGCCAGTGATACTGTAATGGGAGATGCCGTTGACTTTCGCAAGACATGTGAGGCCTTGCAGAGGGATCTAAACAAATGCTCTTTACTGTCCAGCTCACAAGCAGCTCAACTCAGACTGCTTGACTTTTAACGGTTTCTCCTCCAGCCAGTCCAAAGACTGAGTCTTGGGACACCCCAGCCTCATTTCATTTCCAGCATCAAGAGTCTAGACCTTCAAAGTTCTGATATCTAATCTTTCTAGATGGTACTTCTGCCTAATGCCAATTATAATGCCATAATACTTTATGTGAACACTGTTTTACTTAACCCATGATGAAGCATTCATTTTTTTTAAACATTAGACCATGTTCTATGTTGTTCAGCAGGCAAAACTGGAAGATGATGACATCAGCTATGACACAAAGGCCACTTTTAAACATAAAACTGCTTTTAATTTATAATAAACATAAATGCAGCAACACTCAAGGTGCAAACTCAAACAGTGAGAAAGTAAGGGTGGAAAAAAAAGAAAACTGATCAGCGATTCATGTTGTGATGCATTACACAGAACACTCAACAAGTCCTAGTTTGCCTCCAGTTCAAATAAAGTGATTTCCATCCAAACTTCACCTTGCCTTGTAAGACAGCAATGTTGACTGACAAGAAGTCAACAGATATGGCAGCAAGAACAACTTTATTCACAGAAATGGAATTGTATTTTTGCATTATAAAACAACATGAAAGAACTCCAGACAGCAACTCTACATCCAGAAAATAAAGGAATAAAAGACAAAAGAAGGTCAGTCAGAGTTCCAATTTTTAAAAGCACACTAAAAGACATTACACATGCTTGGATTTTGAGGATAAAGGACTAGAATGCTGGAAAGCAAAGGCAGGAGTAAGAGAGGGGTAAAAGCAAAGACAAGCACGGTCACAGGGTGACCTAGAAGTTGAGTATTTAACAGAAAACAGACGTGGCAATGTAACTGCACAGTTTATCTTAGCAAACTCACACCTGCATCAGTTTATAACTTGGAAATAAATGTATTTATTTGTCCATATATAAACAACCCAGACTACTGCTGCCATATTGGTGCCAAAGACCCCTGCAGGTGTGACTACTGTGCAATGTTTGTATACAAATAATCAAACATCTTCTCAATGTGCAATTATCCTAACTAATCTATTTAAAATTAAGTACACATTTACATATTTAGCAAACTTGCACAGCAGACATGAAGGAAATACATGTGGGAGGAAATTTAACACCAAACTCCACCAAAGACTTTTTTTACTTCAAGTATCTGCTGCTGCTTGATTTCAGCCTGCTAAGAAATAAGGAGGATGTTGGGTTGGGTTTTGTTTAAAGTAACAGAAACAAGCGTAGCTAGTGGTATCTTCTAAAACTAAAACAACTTAGCACTAATTCACTACTTGCAAATAGTATATGATGCAGTTCTGCTTTAAAAACATCCACTGCCAAGTCAGAAAATGCCTGCTTTTATCTACAAGAGTAACTTGTGAAGAACAAGTCTAACTTGTCTTGTTTAATACATTCACTTCCCCAAGTCAAGAACACCAGGCTGCACATCTCTTACAAATCTCAGTGGTGTCAGACATATGCAGACCACGTAGACATAAAGAAAGATTTCTATCCTAGTTTGAAATTCGACTATCTTTTTCACTTCTGAACACTACCTATGGAAAGTATTTATGAAATACAAGTTTGAAGCAGCCATATATGCAATAAAATATATTTTTAAAGTATATACAGAAGGATGTAATGTTTTTTACATATGTAGATATTCTAGCTATTCATTGAGCCGTAGCAATTCATTGCCCAACAGCAAAAATTATTTAAATGTGGACAATTCAGAGATGTAAAAATGAGACAGCCTTTCAGCTGATGTTTATATCTTGTGCAACTCTGAAGTTCCTTCTCTCATTCTGGCAGAGGAAGAATTTGATATAATGCACAGAGGCATTACTGTATACTCAGAGGCTTTCATCATTACTGTTCACGGAAGCGGAATTTAACTGGAAGTGCAATAACACACGTAATAGAATAGGGTCTGATAAATCTAAATGCAGACTTTATTGTACAGCTATCTGAGACAACAGTGACCCTAAGAGCCACAGAGTTCATTTAAGTTGTATGTGCCTTCTAAACATCATTTAGACACTGAAATACAGATAGAAAGCACAAATTCAAAGCTTAAAAAGACTGTGAAAAAAACCACAAGCAAAAACATCTTGCTCTTTTTTTAGATTGCCCTTAAAAACAAACTAATCCTTACAATCCCCAAGTGATATATCATACGAAAACAGTTTTAAGCCACTTCAATAGGCCAAGAGGGACAACAGCTTGAACTTTACTGTGGATTCATGCCAAGTGGGTAACTCATCATTTAAAGACAGCCAGCTGCAATGCTAACAGATCAGTCCCTTCTGGGCCTCCGACTGGGAAAACAGCGTGCCTCCCTTGTGCCAGCCCTGGGCTCTACCTGACCTCACACATCCACTTTAACTCCACTCAGAAAGGGTAGTAGTTTTCAAGATGACTTCACAAATGTAAAAAAAGTCCTTCTCCTTAGCTTTCACCCCCACTGAAAATGAAGACAAGGGATAAATGATCAGAGAAATCTGCACTACCCAGAATGCTTCTGCAAGACTCTGCAGCCATACACAGTGAAGAAAAAAAAAAAAAAAAAAGAAAAAAAAGGCGACAAAAAGGCAGCCAATACTCTGAAAAGTGGATTCAGAAGCAGCAAGTCAATGCTAAGAATGAAAAATAGCACATAAAAAGATTTTAGTGTGTCTCTGGAGGCTCCATTTCCTTTGGTTTTTTTTGGTGCACAGTATGGGACTTGAAGGGTTTGAGATAGTGACATACTTGATTGGGATGTACTAGGTTGAATTTATAGCTGTTAGTGCTGTTTAGTTAGTAATGAGCAAGTCCCTGTGCTTGCCAAAGGGCTTGCTTTTCTGACAGTATATCAGAGTCTAGTACTCGTTGCTTTCACTGCTTATCAGTTTTCTGTATTTCTTTCCTGGTAACATTCTGAAAATAGCCAGGGCTGGCAGGTAGCCAGGGTATTGCTGCTGCTGT